AATAAGATATTCTCTAGTGTATCTGCTTACTTCTACTCCTACCAGCTAATTCTACAATCTTCAAATGCATTACTTGTGTTTGTTCTCAAACCTGTTCATGCTTGTTGTACTTGTTATTTTGCTTTCACAATATTTTACATAATGTAAATCAATGAAGTAGCTTGAAAATAGACTGTTTCCTTAAAAAATTCATATTTCATAAGTTGGAAAGACCCAATGAAGGTGAGTTATTTGTGTAATATACCAGTAAGAGCTTAAAAAGAAGAAATTTGCACTCAGATGTGCTTTTAAATCAAATCTGGGGAAATTTTAGCTGATGGTTTAGAGGTATGGTTTACACAAGAGATACACTGAAACTCCAATCAGAAGATCTGTTTATAAAGAAAAGGCCTTGACCTTTCTCAATGGATTGGCAAATGAGCATACAATTTTCTGTTTTAGGTTAAAATAAAAATGTTTAAAGCATTTACGTTGTATTTTTTCATGATTCTCTGGTTTAACCCATTTTTAAATTTTGTTTCAAACAGATTTATATAATTTATAAACCATAAAATTCATTCTTATGCAGTGTACAATTCAATGTTTAACTTGACTTTTTCAATTTATTGATTGACTGTAGGTCCAGACTGCATTTATGAGAAGGCTTCTTCTGCATGACTGGGGAGGAAAGCTTTCTGACAAGGTTATGTTTGAGTTTGAAAAGTCCTGAGTAACAAGTAGCAGTTAAATGGGTTCTAAATAAACAGTACATGTAAAGGATGAAATTTTGTGACCCTTCCTTTTGTTTGGTTGTCTTGGGAACAGTGTAGTGATTTTGTTCAAACTTAATTATGCATCTGAATCATCGGTAGAGTTTAAAACAAAACAAAACAAAGTAAAAGCACGCCCAGGCAGGACTCCTAGAGATTCTGACTCAATGTATATCTGGAATGGGACATTTTAAATTTTTTTTAAAAAAAGTTCCACTAGTTGTTCTGTTGTGCTACCAGGATTGAGAGCCACTGGGGTGGGGTGAGTGGAGAAGGGTAGCAGATTGTTAGAAGATAAGAGTAGATAGCAGTCTATGACAAGACAGTGAAAGGACAAAACCCAAACCCACTGCCTAGAGTTGACTCCAACTTATAGTGACCCTGCAAGACAGAGTAGAACTACCCTACATGGTTTCCAAGGCTGTAAATGTTTACAGAAGTAGTCTGCCACATTTTGTTCTGTGGAAAGATGGTTCTGCTGGTGGGTTTGAACTGCCAACCTCTAGGATAGCAGCCAAGCATGTTAACCACTGTACCACCAGAGTTCCTTTAGTGAAAGGAAAACAAACAAACAAACAAATATAGAAAACCAAATCCACTACCACTGAGTTGATTTTGACTCATAGTCACTCCCATTGGGCTTTCAAGGCTATAAATCTTCATGGAAGCAGCTGGTGGGTTTGAACTGACAACCTTCCGGTTAGCAGCCACTGGTATAGTAGCTCTATCAACTACCCCACCAGAGCTCCTCTTTTAGTGAAAGTAAGTGGTATGCAAATACAGTGTGATAATAAAAACCTCTCTTGCCTAACAGCTTCACTATTTTTAAATTGTGTTGTTTTACTGCCACTACTGTTACATGAAAGAAAATCATTTCCATCATTGTCTATAAAAACAAGATAAATGTTTTAAACCTATTTTTACCAATTTTAAAGACTTCCGTTTTACTGGAGGTAAAAGACCAAAAAACCAAATTCACTGCCATCTAGTGGATTCTGACTTACAGCAATCCCTCCTTGGGTTTCCAAGGCGGTATCTCTAGGGAAGTAGATTGCCCAATCTTCCTTCCAAGGAGTGGCTGGTGGGTTTGAACCACCAGCCTTCTGGTTAGCAGTCAAATGCCTTAGGGACTATGCCACCAGCCTTCCTACTGGAGGTAATATTTAACATAAAACAAGCTTAGGACAAAGAATGTACCTTCTGTTTAGGAGATTTACCATCTACCTCTCAGAGTTCTTAAGAGTCCAGTAAGACAGTGATGACACAAATCTTGAAAATATCTGCCAGGATATTGAAAAGTAGGTTCCCATTTGGGTTGGTGATGCTGTTCCCTAGTTAAGTAGAAGCACCTGCTTATCTCCAAATGCTCTTCTAAACTATCAGATCTCTGAAATTCTCTTCCAGGTAAAGGGTCTTCAGCATTTATTACCTGAGTAAAAAGTAAAGATAAATCCTGTCTCTATCCATCATAATCAGTTCTCAAGAAGCAGCACCCTTTCTCCTACTCTTTGAAGACTGGATATTTTCCCCTTACCACCACACCTGCCTTCCATATGTTGTTGTTGTTGTTGTTACGTGCCATCAAGTCGGACCCGACTCATAGAGACCCCTTCTTGGTTTTCCGAGGCAGTATCACTACGGAAGTAGATTGCCCCATCTTCCTTCCGAGGAGGGTAGCTGCTCAATATTTTAAAATAAACTTTATATTTTATGAAGATCTAATTTCCCCCTTTACTACGATTCTAATTGTTAAAGCCATCTAATTTCCTACTGGTGACACATATCTCTAAAGAGAATACAGGACATCTGTTTGTGAATAAAAGTGAAGGAGTTATAAAGAATGCTGTTCCTGTCAATAAGAAAGACAAAAATCAGCAAAAAGGCAAAGGAGGAAAATCAACCAACTTGCTCCTGGAAAAATCAAAACAACAAAAATACCCCCAAAGAAGTCCTTTACTGGAACTTTAGATGGGACAAATGACCAAATGCTAACGTGATGAGCTTCGCAGTTCTGGGCTCTGGTAATCACTAAGGCTCCTAACCACATTGCTGTCTCAGCAAATCGTCCTACAGCAACTGAAGGGCGGACTTCCACAGAGCTTGGGAAGGGGTTTCCATTTGCAGAAGTTTGTATGGGGTTTTAAATTCCTGAGCGGAAGAGGAATTATTACCACGCCCGCTGCCTCGCGCCCCTCAAGGGATCCGCTGTTCGGGCCTAGCGCCCCTCACAGGGCCCGCCTTCCTACTCCCTCTCAGGGGACGCGCGGTTTCGGCCCACAGCTCCGCACCTTCCTCCTGAGGCGCTGTTCCCGCCGGCTGTCCCACGCCCCTCTCCCTCCGGCCCCGGCCAGCCCGCCTTCCCAGCCTCCCCTAGCTGACCCGCCAGTCTCTGGTCAGAAGGCCTTTCTGCGGCTCTGATTCCTGTTCCTCCCACCGTCTCAGGGCCGCAGCGTGCACGCTCCAAGGGACTCTCTGACCCGGAACTGCTGAGCCCGCCTCTGATTGGTGGGCGGACTCTTGCCCCATCCCGGGATTCCCCTACGTAGGGGGTTCTGCTTTACCGCTTCCCCAATGTGCACGCGCTGCAGCTCCAGCGGGATCTCGGGAAGCCTGTGCCTCCTTGCAGCGCCTCGGCTGTACCCTTGCTCTTGGCAGCCTGCGGAAACTCTTAACACTCGGAAGCCTGGGCCGACGTCAGGCGGGGGTCCAATCTGTCTGCCGTTTAGGTGAGGTGGACGTCACCACCGCCAGCAATGTCGTTGCACTAGGCTTATAGATCCAGGTAACACGCTCTCACCTCCCAGATTTCATTCAGGCTCAGGGAGAGACCGCGCCTGGAGGAGACCCTAAATCGTGACAGAACTAGCAGCAAATGGTGTGTGCAACCGACTGTGAAATGCACGAAGGCAAGGACGGGCACCGCATCCCCGAGTGTGTTTCTCCGTTAGAGTCTCCCAAGGGGGCGATGAGAGTCCAGGCCAGGTGAAGATACGTATCCTGCGCCCACTGACCAGAGCAAGCATATAAAGAGCCGGAACCGCGTGGCCAAAGAACCGAGGGAAGGGCAGAGCACAAATGGAATTTGTGGGAATTCAAAATGTAGGGGGCAGGGTGTAGGTCACCCCTCTGGCTTCTCTTAATTTAAAAAACTAGCGAAATGATGTTCAGTGGGAGCCATATAGGAGAGGGAGTGGAGATTGGCAGAGGCGTCAAGAAGAAATTGTTCTGGGCAGAGGGGGTAACCAAAAGGGGACCAGCAGCAAGGTGGAGGAGATGAGACAATCTACCTGGGGAGGATGAGTAAGAAAGTACTTAGAAAGCAGTCGCTTTTGTGAAGATTCCCTGCGTGGTGATTGTTGTTGTTAGGTGCCCGCCAGCGCATTGCAACTCATAGCGACATCATGTTTTGTAGAATAGGACAGCTCTATAAGAGCGGTGCAGTGGTTAAAGCGCTCGGCTGCTAACAGAAAAGTGGGCGGTTTGAACCTACCAGTCCTTCCCACCAGTTGCTCCGCGGTAGAAAAATGTGGCAGTCTGCTTCCGTACGATTTAATCAACTCAGTCAAGTACAATGGGTTTTTTATTTTTAAATCTTTATTGAAACAAATGGCCAGCTCATACTCCGGCTAAGCGCTAGGTGGGTTCTAGCCACTAACCTTTGGTTTGCCTCTGAGCCTTTAACTGTTCGCACCAGTAGGAATACTGTGTAAATTTTAAAGAGAAATTTGCCAGTATTCTCAGCTTTTATCTCTGCTTAAAAAACGAGATTTTCAGGTGCAGCTCCATTTAACCCAGTGAACTTAAGGCCCTGGTATTTCTTATGAAAGGCAATCTGGTGGCACAGTGCCTAAGACATTAGACTGCTAATCAGAAGGCTGGCGGTTCAAACCCGCCACCCACTCAGCAGAAGGAATACTGGGCAATCTACTTCCCTAAAGATTTACCACCTTGGAAACCCAAAAGTGGTCGCTATGAATCCGAATGGACTAGATAGCAGTGAGTTTGGTTTGGTTTGGTTTGAACTGCCGACCTTTTGGTTAGCAGCCGATTTTTTGGGAGTGGTCCACAATTACTATTTCACTGGTTACATTTTCAAATCAATGTGATTACTGCTTTTTTATCCTGCCACAATTTTCTACTATAACCAGAGGAAGATTTATACAATTTTGTATTATTTATGCTAATTATTCTTTACAGGTGACTTATTTGGTGCAAAAATCTTCTTTGAAGACCTCTTTACAATATTGAAGGATGGCAGAAGCAGTGTTGATTGATCTGTTTGGTTTGAAATTGAACGCTCAGAAAAACTATCATCAGACATTACTAAAAGCATTGAAGACTGTTCAATACTACCATGCTGCTAATGCCAAGTTTTTTTGCATAATGTGTGGCAGTAACACCAGCAGTAAAAGGGATGGTGAATGTGATCATTGTGAACTAGAAACAAACAATAGGTTATGGGCTCTTTTGAGAGAATTTGATGTAGTTTGCAATTCCAGCATGGTTGCCTCTCTGTATACCATTAAACAGAAAATCGATGAAAAAAACCTGAGCAGCATTAAGGTAATTGTGCCTGTGTACAGGAAGACATTAATGAAGGCTTTTATTGATCAACTCTTCACTGATATTTACAATTTTGAGTTTGAAGATTTACAGATGACTTTGCAGGAAGGCCTCTTGAAACAGTCCACTGAAATAAACATGATTACAGCTCAAGAATTAGAAGAAATCCAGAATGAAGTAGAAATGTATTTGAGAAATCTGCCCTCACTGAATGGAGAATTAACCATAATTACATCTCCTCTGATTCCAGGTATATTAAACCCTATCTGTTGTTTAGAGTGTCCATGAAAAACCAGATTTTTGTTCACCTTTTTTTTCTCCTCTTCTTTCTTTCATTGACTGTTTTGGGCTTATGGGATTTTGCATCAATTACAACATGAGTGTCAAGGGGTAAGGGACTTAATGGCCCTCAGTCCCTTCAAAGCCATACTAAATAAATAAATTTGCTTTATGCAAACTCAGCTTTAAGACAAATCCCTCAGTCTTCCTTTAAAATTAGATACATGACCCTGAGCATCTTTTTAAAATTCTGAAACCTCAGCTCATTGGAGTGTTCATAGAAGGGTGAAATTTAAAATAGTCTTCTTGCTTAAAAGATTTATTATGAACTATATTCTGTTGGGCATACAAAGACAAATGGGACAGGAGATATTTTTTGAAGAGCAGTAATCCCACAGAGGAGGTAAACAAACACAAAGCAGTATGTAATAAGAACACGCTGAGATACAAGGTACTGTAGAAATTAGAAACCAGATAAGGGAGTACAGATTAAAGTGAGCAGGGAGTGTCTTACTGAGAGACTGGGTTTGATAATGCTTTACAGCCCATTGTATGGCATTCTTTTTAATCTTCACTACGTATCTTTCAATAGATATTTTCATACACGGATTTACTACAAGAACAGGTGGGATATCTTATATACCAACTCTCAGCTCGTTAAATCTCTTCAGTAGTTCCAAACGGAGAGATCCCAAGGCAGTTGTTCAAGAAAATCTGCGTAGGTTGGCGAATGCTGCAGGATTTAATGCAGAGAAATTTTACCGAATAAAGGTAAATTTTGCTTCATGTTGTGCAAGATCTAAAGTACATTCTCCATTTGGCCAGTGACTGACTACATGGACTTTAAACAAGCCATTTAAATTTTGCCTTTGGTGTTTTATTTACAATTTTAGGATAATGTTTGTGGTTGTGTATATCTCTACACTATTGCCTAAACATCAGTTCTGTGATGTATGTATTTCACTTGGAGCACCTCACTTCTAGCAATACAATTAATTCTCAGCGAATATTAAAAAAACAAACCAAACTCACTGTCATCGAGTCAATTCCAACTCATAGTGACCCCCCATTGTGTTTCCGAGGCGGTAACTCTATGGAAGTAGATTGCCTCGTCTTTCTTCTGGTGGGTTTGAACTGCCAACCTTCCGGTTAGCAGTCAAATGCCTTAGGTATTGCGGAGAGTATAATACCACTAAAAAGAATTCTGGTGGTGCAGTGGTTAAGGCATTCAGCTGCTGATCAAAAGGTCACAGTTGATGAGATTGGAACAACATCATGTTCTTTACAAAATTCTTACTTATTTGAATCTAGGAAAAAGTAGGAATACTACTTATTTGATAATTAATTTAACTGCTTTTAATGAAGTAGTACTTAATGGAAAGTACTTCAAGTAGACATTTCCTCGTCCCTAGTAGGAGGTGTTCATGATAGATTATATTGGATTTCTAAATGTTAAAGTTTTTTTTACTCTGAATAAAATATTCAGAGATTATAATATCAAAAGCTTTAAAAAATTAAATGATAAGTAAGTTTAGTATTTTACCATATGTTGTGGAGTGCTGTTGAATGATTACTACTCATAACAACCCTATAGGACAGAGTAGATTGCCTCATCTTCCTCTCGCAGAACAGCTGGTGGATTTGAACCGCTGACCTTCTGGTTAACAGCCAGGTGTCATACACGTTACACCACCAGAGCTCCTCCCATATGTAGGAGTGCTATTTATAATGAATGCTGGTAATCTTAAACTGGTTTTATAATTTTGTACTGAAGTGAGTACTTTGGTTAAAAAAAAAAAAAGCTTATGGTATGATAAAGCCCACTTTCAAAATATTTTCATTATATACCTTTGATATTAGACTGATCATGCCAGTGACGTCTGGATTATGGGAAGGAAGGAGCCTGATTCTTACGATGGAATAACCACAAATCAGAGTGGGGTCACAATAGCGGCTCTTGGTGCTGACTGTATTCCAATAGTTTTTGCAGATCCTGTCAAAAAAGTGTGTGGGGTTGCTCACTCTGGTAAGTATACACAATCATTTAGAATCTTAATAATTTTTATAGTGTTTTAAGAATGACATTAAAACTTGTGAAAGCTGGCACATGTATAAGGTGGAAATCTGTCAGAGAAGGAAAGCTCAAATATCGTCCACTAAAACAAGGATAGAAAAGTGATAAGACTGCAACCTGTCAAAGGCAGAAAACTTGTAAGACCTGGAAAAACAAGACAGTCCTGTTGAGTTCTAGATCTCACAGGTTTCACTGTCATTTCTGTTTAATGGGCCTGGCAGACAAGTAAACAATTATACCATTTTACTTTGTGGTAAGTATAATGATAGGGGCAGGGCCAGTATACTCTCACTGTGTTGTTGTTAGTTGCTACCACGTTGACTCCAGCTACTGGCAACACCATGTACAGCAGGACAAACTGTTGCCTGTCTCACACTTCCTTCACAGTCTTTGGTATGCTTGGGTTATAGCCACTGTGTATTTTGAGTACCTTCCAACCTAGAGGCTCATATTCTAGCATTGTATCAGACAATATTCTGTTGTGATCCATAGTGTTTTCTTTTCTATTATTTTTTTAAACTTTATATTGTGATTTGAGTGAAAATTTATAAAGCAAATCATTCTCCATTCAACATTTCAAATGTATTTTGTTTTGTGACATTGATTGCAATCCCCACAAAGTAACAGCTCTCTACCCACTTTCTCCCTGTGGTTACCTTTTCCCTGCCATTCTTCTTTCCTAAATATTCCTCTTCTCTCACCTTGCTCCCTATACAAAGGCTACCCTTCTGATTTCCATGGTTGATTATTCTAAGAAGTGTATCTACTTGGTGTAATCGTACCACTCGTAGGCCTGTCTATTGTTTGGCTGAAAGTTAAGCCACAGGAGTAAATTCAATTCGAGGCCTGACGGATGAGGAGGGACCATAATCTCAGGGATTTCACCAGTCTCTATCAGACCAGTAAGCCTGTTTTTGTTTGTTTGTTTTCAATTTTTATTTTGATTGGGGTAAAAGTTTACAGAGCAAATTCATTTTCCACACCTTTGCCCTTGAGTAGGATCCGACTCATAGTGACCCTTCCTTGGGTTTCCGAGACAATATCACTGCGGAAGTAGATTGCCCAACCTTCCTTCTGAGGAGTGGCTGGTGCGTTTGAACCGCCAGCCTTCTGGTTAGCAGTCAAATGCCTTAGACACTACGCCAAGCAGTTCACATACACTTTGTCTCATGACATTAACTACAATTTCCCACTGTGCAACAGCTCCCCTCCTACTTCATCTCCCATATTTACCTATCCCTGTGTCCTTCCCTCCATGTGCTCCTACCCACTGAGCTGTCTCCTTGTGCATACAGAGCCCTTCTATTCTCCCATGATTGTTCTCTCCAAGGAGTGTATCTACCTAGTGTAAATGTTCAGCTCATATGACTGCCTTTTGTTTGGCTGGAAGTCACAAGAGTGGATTCAATTCCAGACCTGAAAAGCAGCTAGGGGCCATAATCTCAGGGGTTCCACTAGGCTCTATCAGACCAGCAAACCTGGTCTCTCTCTCTCTTTTTTTTTTTTATGATTTTGAGTTTTGTTCCACCTTGTTCTCCTACTCTACCCAGGATCTCCTACAGAAATCTCCCTCTGAGTGGTTGACATTGGTAGCTGGGCACCATCTAATTCTCCTGGTCTCATAGTTGTATAGGCTGAGGATCTCATGGTGTACCAGTCCCTTGGACTAATTGTTTCCATGGGTCTTTGGTTTTCTTCATTCTTCTTTGCTGTGGACAAGGAGAGACCCATTATTGCATCTAAATGGCTGCTTTCAAGCTTTTAAGATCCCAGTTGCTACTCGCCAAAGTAGGATTTGGAACAGTGTTTTTGTGTAGTATGTTATGATGTCCCCTGCAACACCTGTCTCCTGCAACCATGGTCCCGAGACCACAGGCCCAACTACTCACTCCCTCCAGGTAGCTAGCTGTGGCCAAGAAGTGACTACAACCTTATCCCTTGTCAGCTCTACTGTATAACTGGAAGTTCTTACAGAACATACAAATACACTTGCAGAAACATTGTCTGCTAACCCTCTACATGGTGATGGGCTTACTTCCCCCTGCATAGATATAAAGCTTGGTATTTTTTATGATTTTAAGTTTTGTTCCACATTTTTCTCCCATCTATCTCGAATCTCTAAGTTAGCCCTTTTCAGAGTGCTTGCCAGGAGTAACTGGCCATCATCTAGTTTTGGTCTCAAGGTCATGTAGGCTGAGGTTCTTATGGCCCACTAGCCCCTTAGACTAATTGCTTCATATGTCTTTGATTTTTTTCACTCTTCTTTGCTCTGAACAAGGAGAGACCAATTGTTGCAACTTAGATGGCTGCTCACAAGCTTTTGAGATGCTAGTTGCTACTAGCTAAAGTAGAATGTAGAACAATGTTTTTGTGTAGTATGTTATACCAATTGAGCTTGATGTATCCCATGACCATGGTCCCAAGCCTGCAGGTGTAACAACGACTCCCTCAAGGTGTTTGGTTATGGGTAAGAAGTTGTCATAACTTTTTCCCTTGTTAACTCTATTATGTGTATGGGCATTTTTATAACACATACAAAGTATATATAGAAATATATGCCAAATCTATGTATGGTCATAGGTATATTCTCATTCACCTACCCATACCTGATCATCTTGCCTATCTATCTATGTATCCACCCATAGATTAGGGTTTGTTAATACTGGTGATGCAGTATTGTGTATGTAATAGTATTTACCTTTGTTGTCTTGTGTACCTTTCTGTGTTTTCTTTTTACTAGTGTTACTGTGCTTTTGGTATATGGTATTTCCCTTCACCCAAATCAATATGTGTCTCTTACTTAGCTACCAATTTTT